AGCGAGAAAAGTTTGATTCGGAAGAAATTGGTGTGGTTTTTTTGATTTTGGAATTCAGTTTGAAATAAAAAAGCCCATAGACTCGAATTTGATCAGCTCCTGAGCAAAAAAATAAATATCGAATCATTTATAATCAATAAATTTCTACAACAAAAATAATTACAATCTCTTTTTTTGTTGCATACTATTGGTTGATATATTTCAATCCTTAAAAATAAATAATAATGAATTCCATATATTCTTTTTACATAGAAAAACAAACTCCGGTAATGCTTTAGTCTTAGAATACGACAAGAGATGAAATTTAGAATAACAATATATACATAAAAAATACACAAGTACTAGATAGTAGAGTGCATATTCTATGTCACTGACATCAATAATGCAGAATTAATTGCTCTTGTTTTTATTATATCAATATCCTGTTTAAGCACGACTCAAGAATAATAACGAACTTCCCCAAAAAACAAAACACTTTTAAAAATACAAACTGTTATTTTGCTTTTAAATGATATTGAAAAACAGCTGCTTTTCACATCAAAGTTATTTGATGATTTCAGGTAGATGCAAAGCCTATCGACGGTAACTAGCTAACTGTGATTTGATAAAAGAAAAAACATTTTTTTGTTAAATGTAAATTCTAATAAACGCGTCGATTTCTCGTCGACATACTGGACACAATCGCAGTGAATGACCACATGCAACACATGTTGCCATGTGACCACATGGTGTGAGTGTGTGTGTGAGTGTGGGTGTAAGTGTGGATGTAGGTGTGTGGGTGGGTGTGGGTGTGAGTGTAGATGAAGAAATAGAGAAAACGATAATCCACATCCACACCCACACTCACGCCCACCCACCCACACCCACCCACACACCCACACCCCACCTACACCCACCCACACACTCACACCCACACCCGCATCCAACACTGACATTCATCCACCCACCCACATCCAAAATGAACAAAATAAGGCCTGAAATACATTCGTCAGTATTTCTGACATCAATATCTTAAGACTGATTATTACTTTTGAAAGAAGAAGGGCAACAGGCTATACTGCATTTCTTGATTTACTGATTGTAATGTTTATTTGTTCCAAACAAATCAAAATAAAGTAAAGTTGTAAGAGCAATCACACAGTGGAAGCCACTAGACAATTGTGACATCAAGCGTTATTTTGTGCTTCTTTAATTTCTTCAATTATTTTCATTGTATCTTTAACGTGTTCGTGATCATCAGAATATCTTGACTGAAAGATATATAATCCATCTTTTAAAAATTTCATTGCCTGATCATAATTTTTGAGTTTAAGATGCATTCGACCAATGTTACGAATAACGACTCCTAAAGTGGAATCATTAGGTAAATATAATTTTTTTCCAATATCTAGTTGTTTTGAAAAATAATCTAGTGCTAAATGAAAGTTTTGGCTGTCTTCTTGAATTTGACCAAGTCGTTCTAGGCAAAAAATTATCTCTTCTTGTTCAGGTGGAATACATTTCGCAAATAATGACAAAGCCTTTTCATAGTAAGATAGAGCTTTCTGGTTTTCATTGCATTTTTCATGAATATTTCCGACTTGGAAAAGAAGTCTGCCAACTGCTGAATGTGATTCACCGAGTTTCTCACGTAATGCAATTAATTTGGTCTGACAGAAATTGAATGCTGCCTCGTAATCTTCTTTTCCAACACATGCTTTTACTATTGCCATAAATAACCTTGACATCTTTGGATGTCCAGTTGGCAATGTCTTTTCAAAGATTTTTTCGGCGTCAAAGAAATAAGTAAGAGCTTCATCATATTTTTTTTGAAAAGAATGGACGCCACCGACATCCCAGAGAGAACTAGCAATATCAGCGTGCTCATTTGGTAAAAGGTTTCGTCTCATTTCAAGTGCTTGTGTGAAATAACCGAGTGCAATGTCAGAATCGCCTTTTTTCCGATATGTCTGTCCCAAATTTTGTAGAATGCCAGCAGTATTCATAGGTCCTGTTGTACTGTGGTTCTCACGTTCGATGTGTAGTGCTCGATTAAAATGTTCAATTGCTTTTTCAAAATCCCCTGTCCGGCGATATACACTTCCAATAGCTCTCAATGAACTGGCGATTTTTGGATGATTTGACTGGAAACGATTCATTCGAATTTTGTATGCACGATTATGGTAGTCTAACGCAGATGAATACTGAGATCTTCGTATACAGATATTACCCATTTCGTCTAGTAGATCAGCTTCCTCGGTTGAATCTTGTTGGGTCGTTGTTAGTAGTAAAGTAAAATATTTTTTAGCTTTCTCAAGCTGGTTCATCCTAATTAAAAGATGACCAAATAAATTTGACATATCCCTATCTTCGTATTGTTTCTTTGTTGTGTCAATGTAATCTTGCACATCTTTCATTCCTTTATCAGTAACTGCCATGTTTACCAGCCAGTACTTTCTTTCGTCATGGAGGTCTACACTTACAACTTCGAAAACAGCTCCGATATTAAATAAAACTTCGTGTTCACCTTTAATACGAGTATATTCTTCAATGTCAGCAAAAATGATTGATTTCACCGGGCTATCAGCTGTGATTTCAAACAGTACTGGTTTCAATTCCCCACGTTTAGCTGTCTGTCGTATAAGAAAGCCTTTCGCAACATCTTTAACGAGTGTCGTAGAAAAGAAGCTATTCGTTGAAGTTAAACTACCAACACTATGTTTCAGTTTATCTAACTCTTGTTCAGACATGACTTGTCCTCGATAAAGTGTCATTATTCCAATATTCTTTCCACTTTCTTCTTCCAGTTGTTTACAAAGATCAATAATATAGAAACGAAATAGATAAAGTCCGTCAATGTCTTCCGTTCGTAGAGCTTTGTTCAGAAGACGGTAGACAAAAGACTCTTCAGTGTACCAAGTGATAGCTTCGCTCCCTTTATAGTCCTTTTGAAAGCGTTCAATATTCTGTAGTTCTGTTTGATTTCCTCGATAATATTCTTTGCATTTAATCAACATTTGATTTTTGGCATATTCCGTCTGAGGAAGTCCTTTCAAGACACTGAAAAGCAATTGGAACCAGAGAAATGAAGCAGCTTCCTCTGTCAAATCACGTGAAGTCTTCTGTTTCTGATTAAAGAATGAAAATGCCACCATGTGTTTTGATAGAAGACGTAACTGCTCGCAGATCGCTTGAACCAAAAGTTATTGTTCTGTGAATATACCAACGAGTTTCGATGCATATTCTTGTTGTCGGAGAGATTCATAGGCACAATGGTCTGAGCAGAAGATAAAGACGGAGTCAAGCTGAGAAAGTGAGTGAATGTGTGGTAGAATATCTTTTGCGAATGAGTCTGAGACGATAAGCAGAACAATATCTTTATCGATTGATTTAATGTAATTAATGCAAGATGTACAGTCGGTGTAAGTTAGAAGAAAGTCGTTGATTTTACGAAATAAGAAAAGTGTCTTTTTACAGTCTTCGTTTGTTTCATCAATTAACTTATCCAGCCAAATAAGTGTGACGCCTTCAAGATTTTCAGTTTCAAAATTTCGACGACTTGTAGGAACGAATTCTACTGCTGGTGATGCATCGACAACTGGTAGATTTTCATGTCTACTATCGTAGGTTTGCAAAGGTTGTGCACATTTTCTTGCACTACATCCCATTTTCAACTGTTCTATAAGATGCACATGAAGAAATACTTTTAACGTGAAATAAAATGTAACTACTTATTTTCTTCTTCTTTTAATGTAATGCAAAGAAAGCCTCGCAACAATATACAAAGTGATTCATCTTCTTCTTGCTTCCATTAAGAGTATTTTTTGAAGAATGAAGAACAAAGAAAAGTGAAGCCCAATCGTGTGTGAGACAAGAATTTTGTTATTATTGACATATTCTTTTACGCGCCTTTATTTTGAAGCGTATGCCACAAAAAGAATGTCGTGTCTATATGAATAGCGTGTACGTATGGTTGTGGTGTGGTGTGGGCGGGTGTGGGTGAGTATGAGTGTGGGTGTGGGTGTGGGTGCGGTGGGGTGTGGGTGTGGGTGCGGTGGGGTGTGGGTGTGTGGGTGCGTGTGGGTGTGGTGGGCGTGGCTGTGAGTGTAAATGCAATGTTCTTTTCATTGACATCCACACATGCAAACCCACACCCACACCGCAACACCGACGCACCCACATCCCACACCCATACCCATCCCCACACCCACACCCTACACCCCACACCGCAACACCGCAACACCGACACACCCACACCCCACACCCATACACACCCACACCCAGTCACCCGCCCACACCCACACACTCACACCCAGCCACCCACACCCACACACCCACACCCACACCTACACCCACATGTAGTCAAGATCATGAATAGTTTATATTGACTTTTTAACACAACACAGAAACAGTACAACATAGAAACAACATTATGATTAATTATTTTAGGGTATTGAGTTCTGCCCATGTGATCAAAAACATTGAGATTTATATGATGTGTGCAACAGACATGGGATCGATTGGAATTTTTCTCAGCTGAATCGAACCGAACCTGACGTGACCATACATGTTAAGCTTGAAACTTGAAGTTTGAAAACTTAATTGAATTCAAGTTTCACGTTTGACACTACTGTATGTGATCGATCGAATTCTGAAAAGCTTTTAACCGAATCAATCTCATCTCTGAATGAACAATAGGCGGCTTTGCAGATGATTGTTTTAGCGTTGAGTCATTCTATTTAGTCCAGCATCTTCAGGATTAATGACTGTCATAAATCGTTTTAAGGGTCCTAGATATCGGCGAAGCACTTCTTGAAATCGTCTGTTTACGCCCCTGATTGATGCAAGACAGATGAAAGGAAAGAGCAAAATGAGAAAGTAGCCAAAAAAATAGAAATACCGAGCGGCTTGTACTCCAAGATTTGATGGCAAACCACAAAAATAAGCAATATTAAGGATACTTAGAGGAAATGAGCATACTATGTTAAGAGAACTCAACGATGCGAGTTGAAGCATCATCTTCCGATGTTTACGCCATTGCAGTGGTAAACGTGAGCGATACTTGTGCCAGAATACTCGAAAGATAAAAGCCATGGAAAGTATTGCTTCGAGAAATATTGGAAGAGTATTATTCATAATCCAATCCCACATCCCCAGAAAAAGATTATTTTGATAGCACGGGGGAAACCCGCCACAGTATGGCAATGAATAATCGTAAACATTTTCACACGGAAAGTAGTAAAATGCATAAATATAGAAGATGAAAGTGTACAGAATCAAAAATACTGGTGGCATGTAGTGTACAAATATACGTCTCGTTATTGTAATGAGCCATCGATCATGAAATACAATAATATGTCGTTCGAGAGCCAGCCAGGCCAAAATTATTAATCCTCCGTTGTAGAAAGCGCAGCCAATAAACCGCCAGAAGCCACAAATCGATTCATTGGACGGAGTCACCCTGGAATGGACAATGAAACTCAGATAAAATGGAACATCAGCCAGTTGTGTACCCAAGCCTAATGTGAGTAAAACAATAAGAGCATGGTTCTTCAGATTAGAGCGCAGTCGTCGATTAATAAGAACACAGACGAGAACGAACAATGCGCACATGGTGGATGGCACATCAAACAGAAGAAGAATCCAAAATCGAGCAGTACGCGATAAAGAAATTTCGTTATTACCAAATGAGCCGCCATCTGTTTCATTCGAACTTTCGTTATAAGCCATTACTGAAACTTACGAAACAATTAAAAGATAAATTGTGGTAGCAAATGAGACAAAAGCTGAAACTACGTATCGCTCAAGTTTTGAAACTGACAGACCTCATTTTCCTTTCGAATAGACGACATGACACCAGTGGCGTACGCAGAAATTTTTCAAGGGGGGGCCCAACTTCGGAGGGGGGCCCGGCCATGGCACAAAAAATTTTTTATCACGTGAGAATATTTTTTCCTGTACCCCCCTCCAGGACTTTTTCGTCTCAAGGGGGGACCCGGGCCCCCTCGGCCCCCCACCTGCGTACGCCACTGCATGACACGTCATCCGAAAATATTCGTTGACTATCTCTACTGTCTAAATGTGTCAAGTCGAATTAGATAACGAATTAGGTAACACACAAAAGTATTATAAACACATTCGGAAGAGCAGTAAAAATTATTGAATATAATAGTGAGTCGATAAGGGATTCCCGAATTTCGCCAATAAGACTTTCGCCAACAGGACATTCGCCAATGGCGAAAGTCCAGTGTACTTTCGCCAATATACCCCGATGACTTTCGCCAATTGGCGAGAGTCCACTGTACTTTCGCCAATATGCCCTGGTAACTTTCGCCAATTGGCGAGAGTCTGATGTGCATTCAACAGTGTAACATGTAGATTAATAGACAACACCCAGATATATACTGATACCCATCCTCCTCGCTCATATTCAACAATTATATTCTTCTGTGACAAATGCTAAAAGTCCATCAAACTTTTTTCAATTGGTGAGAGTCCACTACACTTTCGCCAATACACGTCCAGGACATTCGCAAATTGGCGAGAGTCCACTGTACTTTCGCCAATATACCCCGGTGACTTTCGCCAATTGGTGAGAGTCCACTGGAATTTCACCAATGTCCCACTGGACTTTCGCCATTGGCGAATGCCCAGTTGGCGAAAGTCTTATTGGCGAAATTCGGGTAAGCCGTCGATAACAGTCACGAAATACAGTAGAATTTTTTTAAAGTTTGAAAAAACATTCTAATCTATGTCATAGCAGTTATCTACTAATTAATTTACTCATTGCTTTTCACTACTATTTCTGACGCTGCTGTAGCTTCCAAAGACATAGAAAGCATGTATAAATGCGTCTTGGATGCGCTCAAATGCAGCTGTTGATAAGAGAAACGAAGAGATATGTCTAGATGAACAAACGCACCTGGGCGCACCCGAGGCATCAAGGCGTTTCATTCTTTTTCTCGATATGCATTCGTTAAAACGAGTTTAACCGAAATTTTACGTTCACCCACGATTCAGATGCAGATGTGTTTTGTTCTTAATGCTAATCATATGTATTTAAAGTAATCTACCTGTTTAGAACGCACCTGCAACGCGTTTCAACTACTGAAAAGCTGGATCTATGTTTCTATAATTAAAAACCTATTTGCGACATTTTAAGAGAGCTTTTATCAGAGCACCAAAGATCAAAGACTAGGACCAAAATTACATTTTTTGATTCTTTTTTTTTGCATTTGTAGAACCATGGCGTCAAAATAAGAAAACCGAAAATTTCAGCTCATTTGTATGTATTATTGCACAGATAGACAGGAGTAGGGATAGGAAGTTACCGTTACCGGGTAGCGGAAAAGTTGCCATTACCAGGTAACTGGTAATGGGAGGAATCACCCGTTACTAGTTACTTGGTACGTAACAGTAACTTCCTTCCCCTAGCCAGAATCAACTTAGACCACAGCCCACTTAGTTCCAAGAAATCTGTCCCGCACACTAAAATAAAATGTGTTGCATGTGTCGTACTTTGCGACACAATGTACGACACATTAATATGCTACACGAGGAGCTCGTTGCGACACATTTCTTCCAGCGGACGTACGACACATTCTTGTGCAACACATGCGACACATTTTTAACACATGGTTCGAATCTATTTTTCTGCACAAGGATTATTTTTTTTGAAAATTCGAATAGTTACTATATTTTCAGTTAATTTCAAATAGTAGCATCTATTCTTGGAGTTCAAGACGGTAGATCTTAAGATCTACCTGTCTTGAGACCATTTGATCTTGATCAGACTACTTCGAGGTAGTCCATTCTCGATCATCTAGCGACCTCTTGCCATGTTCTCGAATAATAAATGGTTGAGAAAGAAATAATCTAGAAAAAGAAGACATACGAAAATGTATGAGTCAAGTACGTCCAATAGGCTCGGTTATATGCAGCTGCCCTTGCGAAACGAAACGGTGAATGAACGGTTCACATATAGGCCATGACTCATCTATAATGTGACAAATTTTAGTACGACACATATATACAACACATTTTATTTTAGTGTGCATATGTGTTTATGATGAGTATGTTTCAACAACTGAAGGACATTTTTGGTAAAACACATCGACAGATAGAGAATTAATCCCTGAACAAAGTATGCTATATCAACTGCTGAATATTGTCTGTTTATTGGGATTCAGGAATTCAATATGATTCGAGTACGGCATAACTTATGAGTGTACGTCAGTAAATTCTGGGTAGTGTATCTGCTGTCGTTTTTGAAAGCACATGGCGCTCACCAGAATCTTTTGTATGTTATGTAACTTTTATTTCTCTAGGATATGTGGAGAAATATTGGCAAAAAGAATTCACCCTCGAAGCGAAACTGGGCTGACAAATCTCTTTTTTCGTAGTTTTCATAGACAAAACTCGATTATAAGACAAATGATTGCGAAATT